CCCCCACCCCGTTTTATCCTCCTGAGGCCCAAGCTTATCCTTTGGACTCATTTTTCATTTCTCCAAGCTATTTTGGGTTAGTAGAAACATAAAAATATAAAAACAAACATTGTGTTCTTAAAATTAAGAGTTAAAAATATAAACATATATAAGACTTCAAATCTAGTTCCTCTGAATAAAGAAAAATAAAGATAACCAGTCCAAAAACATCGTCCTCAACAATAAGATTCTGGTTCTCAGGGGATTACATGGGTTTTTAATTAATAATAATAATTATGTAATTAAAATAAACAGCTGGCTTTATGGCACAGGTGGTGAACATGTTGCCTCACAGCAAGAAGGTTGCTGAATCAAATCCCAACCTGGAACTTCTCCAGGTTGTGTTCACATGTTCTCCTTGTGCATGTGTGGGTTTTCTCCAGGTACTCCAGTTTTCTTTCACAGACCAGAATCATATTTACTAAAACTATTATGGCATGAAAAAGCTAATAAAGGAATAGTTTGGGATAATGCTATAGTAAATTTAGTCTGCAATTGTTTTTTTAGTTTAGTTTTACCAACATTTGGAAGAGGTGGTGGCTTTATACTTGAGAAAGCTTGTTTCCTGTAAATGTTTTCTTCAATGTTTGACTTAAAAATGTACATTTGACTTTTTTAGATGAGAGGAGACTAACAGCCCATAACTGCCTCGAGAAGTTTCCCCTAACATTTAAAATCAAATTGGTTTGGACCCCCCACTTAATATTAGTTCACCCARTGCTGTTTCTTTTGCTTTACAACCAAATCCATTCCACTTGATTTATAGGAAAACACTCATACCAAGAGTTTACTTATGCGGGTAAAAGTCTGTTTAACAACCTGTTAAAATACACCAAAATGCAGGAAATTATATTTACTTCACTCAAAATTTCCACCAGCATTTTCTCCCCTCAAACTATTCAAATACTCCTGATGCCACTGAAAAAGCCAGTTTGTGGTTTTCAGTGTGTAAAGACACAGAAACACATTATAACTGGACTGTTGTAAACATCAAATCCTTTTCTGTTCCTGCTTCTTGTCTCTGGACCTCACATCATCAGTAATATAACCTGTGGAATAACAAACTGAACTATGTCTGTTGGTAAATCCTTAACACTAATACGACCATAGTTTATTTTATTTTTATTTTTTACAAAATCAGCATTATAGAATTTCAGTTATTGGTTTTAATTGTGGTGTGCCACTCTCGGTTTTTCAATGGCTCCCCTACAAAAACATCTGCAGGTGCCACTGCTCCTTGAGTCTGTCTGCATTTTGGGTTTGACCTCTGGCCACTGATGTCCGGTCATCTCAGCCACACTATGGCTGTGGCTCAGTGGTTAGAGCAGTCACCCTCCAATAAGAGAGTTGGCAGTTCAATTCCCCACTATTCAGTCACAAGTCAAAGTGTCCCTGTGCAAGACACTGAACCCCCACTGATGTGTCCCATCAGTGTATGAATGTGATTTAAAGCACTCATTAGTCTCTGTAGATTGATTTATCTGTATCTTTGTAGTGAGATCTAACAGAGTGCTGAATGAGTGTGTGAATGATAAACAAGGACACAGATTGTATTTTAAAGAGCTTTGAGTTTCCTGGTTGGATAGAAAGGTGCTATATACAGTCCATTTACCATTTACCCCCCCCCCCCCCAGCAGACTTCCTCAACAGAGGTTCCAGTACCCACCTTGATGCTAGTTTTACATGTCAGCGTAGAGAAAGTCTCTGTGTTGATGGCCACTACCGCACAAAAACTTCAAAACTAAAAAAGAACATGACACACAACTAACTTAACACACAACTAACTTAACTACAACATCCAGTGAACTAACTACAAGAAAGACAAAAAGTAATAAGAAAAAAACGCTCTTACACTCACACTCCTCTCAGAAAAAGAAGAAAGCATATAATAATTCAGTTTACAGAACAGTTAATCTGTGTTATAGACCTTACTGAATTCAGAGCAAAGTATGAGAAGTGAGGACTTGTAGAAGAAACACGAGCAGTGAAAAATTAACACAGCTTTGASTGGGATGCATTAAGTTGAAGAAAACACTACACAGAAGGGGAGACGTGGAATGTGTGCCTTGTGTGTTGTGAAGAAGAAACAGAACTTGTCATTAAGTGTAAAACATTTCTGACTGAACGAGCAGAGCTCATTTAAAAGCTGTCATAAACATTTAAAAAATGTTATAAATCCATTTTTAATACGTCCTGATGCATCTCAGTAATCCAGGTAAAAAAATCAAAAAAATCTTTCTTTTTCATTTTTAATACATTGCTGTAACTTGTCTGATTATTATTTTTAAGTTTTATTTTCGTTTATTTTTTGGACTGGCTATGGTCAGATCTGCTTTCCAGTCATTCTGTATGGAGTTTATATGTTTTCCTTCATACATGGGTTTTCTCTACTTCATTTTTGTCTCATGGACTGAAAACATGGTTGGTTAATATTGCCAAGTTGTTCCTAGGTGTGGGTGAGAGTGTGAATG